TGCAGGTGTCGGACTAGCTGGGAGTAATTGCAAGGGTCGGACTAATTGCTACTCGCCGGAGGTCATTGCAGGGGTCGGGCTAACTGCTAGTCGCTGCATATAATCATAATACTGGGTACGAGTCGAAACCACTGGAATAATCATAGAGCCACTGGAAGAAATCACATCACTGGCTATAAAAAAAGTAATTGGGTTCGGCGCCGATTCCTACGATTCCTAGCCTTTAATATTCGGGAATCTACGGTTACCGAAAAAAACAGGAATCGCCCACCTCTACCAGTGGGGCAGGCCCCCCTGGAACCCCCCGATTGGTCCGAGTCCAACAAAGCATGTCTATCTTGGTTAAAAACAATCAAATATTTCACAAAAACTATTAATTTGTGACGGAAATGAAGTTGATATTCGTGTTCAGCGCATCAATATTTTGTAGAAAATAGACAACTGGTAGATGAGTGTGAGACGGGAGGGAAAGTTAAAAAATACCATTGTGTCACTATAACTTAACGAAATTTGTAATATAAATGCAAAACAGTCAAAAGAAACCCAATTCAATAAACGTAAGTCAAGTGAATCGAAATATTCAAAACAATTCCAAGTTGTAGATCTTCAATAAATTGTATTATCAAGAGCTGAGGCGATACCACACCAAAAAATGTTAAAGGCAGGTAGGCCTATTTTGAGTCTTGATGCAATTAATCTGAAGACGGATGAAGCACAAAAATGAATACCTCTTGACCTTTATTCAATAAGACAAGATAAGAATCACGCCACAGCCACACAAATACAAAAAGGAAGAATATAGAAATAAAATAGAATCTAGACTCTATATCTAGATTCTAGATTCTAGAGTCTAGAATCTAGATCTAGATCTAGAATCTAGATCTAGAATATAGATTCCAGGCCAACCTCGTAGCCTCAAGATTAAGAAAAGAAAGGCGGCTACACTACACTACACTGACATTGGACATACCGTTGCCGTAGTCTACGAGTAGGCCCTACTATATAGATCTAGAATCTAGTCCTAGAAGGGGAAGGCCTTACACTGTTTTTGCGGTGAAAAAGTATGAACAATCATCTCGCAAATGGACAACATAGCCTACGCCAAATCACCAAAGATTACATCCCAAGAGTGAAAAGCAACATCAAAGTTCATCAAAGTTGGTGTAAGCATTCGAGCATTTCCCCGTCACATGATCTGGATCATGTGACATGCAGGGTAGATCATTCTGATTCTGATTCTGACACAAGGCCTCGGCTTGGCCAAGCCCAATGATAATTGATATGAAACAGCACGGGCTTTACCGCTGAGTAAGTAGGCCTAGCAGGGAAACAATCGTGATAATTTTTAAACGTATTGCTACGATTAACTCCCTTCCCTTCAGTGATTCTTGGGCAAGAAAGCAAGGAGCTTAATTAAACCTCCTTGCAAGAAAGGCATCTTTAGGCCTAGATCTCTAGATCTATTGTTTTTTTACAGCAGAAATTAATTTGGGACTTTTGGCTAATCTTCAGAAGGACCCATCCAAAAGAAACATCAAGTCAGCCAGCTTGACTAACGAGACTGAGGGGTAGCCTAAATTAATATATAGAACCTACATGATTGTACGTGTAGATCTATGTATATAGGTCTAGGCCTGAAAAAGTCTAGGTATAGGCCTACGGCCTACGACAATCTTGATCAAAATTTATCCGGGATGAGAATGATATGGAAGGGGGGGGGGGGGGGGGCAGTTTCAAAGACTTGCAGTGTGGATTGTCTGAAAGATGTGTGTATTATGTCTCGCCGCCACGGCAACGTCGTGTGGAAAAGAGCTGAACAAATTAATTTTGATGCTGGGAGTTTGGGATTTAATATCTTCGACAGGGGTTTGAATATAGGCTATCTTTTTTATTTTGCCCTTAAATTCGTGGAAGTGTAGCTGGCTATCTCAGAGGTGATTCAAAAAGGGCATGTTATTGAAGACGCGCTGGCTTTCAGATAGGAAGAGTTAAGTTCAAGCCATGATAAGAAGGCATTCTTGAGCGTATAAAACGGTGTTGAGGGCATATTCCCACTCCGCTCTATCAACCAAAGACTATTAAAATCCATGTTCCTTTATCCAATTGCTCTTCGGTATGCTAGGCCTGTCATTATATTCACAAACAAGGAGTTCGAATTACGGAAAGTGGCAGATAAGTGAATGCTTTGTTTTAATTTGCTGGCCCACGTAGTGACTATAATCATAGTCACCCACACAAGAGGGGCAGACCCAAAGTGACCTGGAGACGCACAATAAAATCTGAAAGGAAGTCCTGGAACCATTCGGGGGGACGTTGACCAAGACGGCCCAAAACAGACAGCTGTAGATCCTTTGTTTCTGTCCTAAACGCCAGATGGCGTGACGGGTAGTAAGTAAGTAAGTACACCCACACACATACATAAACAGTGCCTATAATATATCCCGTATGACAGGTTTGAATGCCTTATAACAACTTAGAACAGCTTAGCCTATATTCAGCCAGGAATGCCCCAGATACGATTCAAACCCAGATGGTTTGCATTGCAATCACGTGTCTTACACGCTAAAAATACGACCTGCCCTGGAGACAAAATACACACACCCGTAAAGGCTTATAGGGCCTACTTAATTCTGCTTTAGTAGTTTCGTGACGAATAAAACTAAAGCAAGCCATGTTTCGTTTACATAGGGTTAACATTCTCGGTTGCATTCTTGCTTGACATTAGCTACGAAGTAAATCATTCTTCATTCGAACAATTTAATGGCAAACACACGTTTTGTGTCTTCGAGTCAGGTGTTCTCTTTCTTCGCGTTGGGAACAAAAGAAAGCGGTTTGATTGTGCTGTTCCAACTTTCAGTCGCAATTTCTAGGGATTTCGAGATCACCACTGCCTACTGCATTGAACAATTGGGCTATTTTTAGTTTCTTACGACGGTGTGTTCAAATAATCAACTGTGGTTACACCAAACACTCACAACTCACAATGATTTCGGTTATGTGTAGTTCAGAGCACACCATACTTGCGCGCGCACACACACACACACACACACACACACACACACACACACACACACACGACGACTATCACTATTACACCTGACCATTATTAGCACCAGGTTCAGTATAATAGGCCTACAAGTAGCCCACTACACAAGTTACAACTTCAAATTAGGCCTTATATAGCCTACTGGTTAAATCAAAGTCCGTATATACACGGTCTTTGGTTAAATTACTGGTTAGCCTACGGTGTAACGTGGAATTGGTTTACAGATAGAGAACATATCCTTTAATAGTAGCCTAATGTGTTTTGTAACTTTGTTATTTAGTAACCGTTGACGTTTTCCACCCCATCGACTCATAAGAGAGGGGGGGGGCTGCTTAGATCCTGCCCGTCAGGGCCAACCCGGACTGAGAGGGACACAAAATGTCCTTGCAAACAGACGGAGATTAGTTGACCCCTACTCGGTTAACAAAAAGCCTTCCCTCACGGGAATCGAACTCACTTCTTCTGCACGGACGGCTGATTGCTACGGACTGGAGTTCCAATGTTTGCTTGCTTATTTTATTAGTTTGTGTATGTTTTGTTTTTGGATTTTGTGTAAGCGTTGGGGGGGGGGGGGGGCGAGAGTAATATTTTAAACGATTAAAGAGAAATAACGTTCACTTTTCAACACCTTGTTAGAGAACATGAAAATGAGTATATTTGTGTTATTAACATCGGCTAAGAAAAACAGTTATCTATAACATGGAAGACTAGCTTTCAAAGCGATTCAGCTTTCCTAGATTTGATCGGAGTATAATATGTGGTCATAATTATAATATAGGCATATTATAATGCTTATATGGAAACTAGAATTCGTATTATGTAACCTTGGCATCGGCGCAATAAAACGGTTAAAATAGACCAGTCTCCGTCCATTCTTTACAATTTCATGTTTTAAAAAATTGCTTCACTTTGTAGACTTGTATGTGGAGAAATTGTTTCAGTATTTTAACCGTGCAGGCTGGGACATAATCAGATACTCTAGTGCACACACAAATAAATAGCATATCCTTTGCAGCCTTTTTATTATACAGTGCGCTGTATTTTAATTCTATGCCACTATTCCATGTAGGCCTACGTTCCTATTATCTCATTTTAAGACATGGATACCTGAAGAGCAAGTTATTTAATCGGTATATATATTGACTTTCTCTAAGAGATCATTTCCTCCACTTGAGTTCTTTGTACATGTACATGTTGGTTTTTTTTCAATTTCGGTTGGGGGAGTGGGGGGCCCTCTAGTGTCCGTTTTCAGTACAATAATTCTCATCTATCCTTTTTTAAATGTCGCCAAATCTAGAAATGGAAAGGGAAAAAAAGCAACAAGTGTTGCTGCTTTTTTTTCCTTTAAAAATCCAACAGCTCTCCCTTTGCTGCTTCTATTTCAAAATCTCTTGTCAGCTTTTGTTGACCGCCATCCTGCACTTGGAATCCGCCATTAATACTGTTGAAAGTCGCCTACGTAACGAGATACCTTGTAAAACCTTTTAAAAATGGAGAGGACCATTAGTTGTAGACTACATGTACTACATTATTTTGTAGTGATATAAAAACCGAAATAGCAAGGCTTGAAATTTACTTGGGCCGCCAGCAATAAATACATTATGTATATGAATGGGGGTTTGTCGGTACATTGCGGCCTAGTGTGTGTGTGGCTGTGCGGTAAACCGCATGGCTGTCGCTGAGACGACGGGGCGATGACAAAGACCAAAGACTTTCGAAGATTTTGTCATCACATCAGCGCGCAGGGGGCCCTTCTAGGCCGAGCGGGCCTATTAGCCCTATTCACTCCAGCGGGGCTCGTTCGCCATACGTGCTTGCCTCTCATGGAACAAAGTACTTGATTTGGTTCTGGGTTCGTGCAAAGGACTTTAAACGTCCTTGGTTCGTAGAGAGCTCGGTAAATAGGGAATACCATTTGAATATTTGGTCGTTTTTAAGCACAAGGGGGCTATCCCGAAAAATGTTGTTTTGAGAAAATCGAAGGTAAAGTTTTTGCCACTTGTTCAGTTTCTGTAAAAGACAAAGAGAATTTTCTCTATGACAAAACAAATATACACACCAATAAAACCAAACTTCTCCAAAAGGTAAGGCAGTGCACTTAGTGTAGAATTCTGTGGGCAATGCCTACTTTTGGTGTAGGTCAAGATTTATAGAAACCCCCGCAGTCTGGGTTAGCCAGCTTGTCCTTAAAAGCGATCATATTTTGTTCTCAGGTTTTCAGAGTCCTGACAATAATTTAGGACTAGGATGATCAGGCTTTCTTTGTTTAGGGTGAATTTTAAAGCACCATAAGGGAGTTTTAAATGAAGAGATTTACTATATAATTAATTCTTACCCAAAAGCTAAAGGATTAAGCATTTGATTATATATTAATTGGATAGTAGGCCTGTATTTTCGAAAACGATATGTTGTTAACTGAAAGGTAAAGGGCCCCAAACTACTTTAGGAGGAGACCACATATACTCGAGACTACTAGATATATTGCAGTTGGAAGGAGGAGGGGGGGGGGTTCTGCCTGTAAAAGCATTTGACGGGGGCCCCAACAAGGACGAACCCAATGGCTGCCCGGTACAAATGCTATAATTTGAGTTTATTGAGGCACATCGACCCATTCGAACTTACTGTTGGTATAAATGATATACGTTAAATGCAGGAATTAGTCAAATGAGACCGCAAGCAGGGAGTAGGCTACATATATATATATATATATATATATATATATATATATATATATATATATCATATGTATTTAACACATTCTGTTTACATAATATATAATACGAAGCGTGGTGATGTCTGCACAGCACAACGTAATTTGGCATAATTATTTGTTGTCTCGAATCTTGAGTAATTTGAGCAGAGAACAACAGCAAAATGGTGTGTGGCTTATATGTACTTGTACTAATAAAACTAAACTCAGCTGAAGTAAACTAGCCTAAACTGGTAATACATTATGCGTTTTATACTTTTTGTTCCCGAACGGATGAGCCAACATCTAAAAGCCTAGGCCAACATTCATGATGTAGTTCAATAAACTGAGCGGCGAACTACGCCTCTACGAAATGAGATCTCGCCACATACACGCACAGGGAAAGTGGTTGCATGGGGAAGAAAGAGGGGGGGGGGGCTTTTCTGATGGGGTGGGGTGAAGAGTGGAGGAGAGGTAGGCTAAGCAGCGGACACACGCC